AGATGGCCCCGAGAGTGATGTAGGATAAAAAGGCCAAAAAGGGGGGGGGGGGGGAATCTGCCATAAAACATTCATTTTAAAATCAGGAAATAAAGACTTCCAGTAGCCTTAAGCTACATTGAGAACCAAATGGCATTTGGTTCTCAAACATAAGCGTGTGCATGCCGCATATTTAATTTATTTTTAAAACAAAGCTCTCAGTCCTGCTGATTGCAGGATAAACAAAGCTGACTGGCAGTGTCCAGAGCCCACTTGGAATCTGAATTTCTGCAGAAACGTAACACTGTTTCAGCCTAAAATAGAGAGTGAAAGGCTGATTTAGACTGTCGTACCTCAGCCCACGCATGGGTTTTTCACCCAGCAGCACTGCTGACTTGCCACAGCTGCACAGCCACATAAAAGAGGGGATGACAAATTGGCCACTCTTGCGTATGGCTGGCAAGCAACAAGAGCTGCTTACAGCATTGAAAGCTGAAGGAGGCACTCTCCGGGATGAAAACTAATTTGTGAGGAAGACGTGGAAGGTGGTACAATCTGTTCAACTGCAGCACAACAGGAAGATTATAAGAGATGGGTTACAAAACAATTCTGCTGCTTATATTTCGTGTTCCCAAATCTCTGAAAAAATGCAGCTCTACAAATAAAAGCCCTCCTCCTGTCTCAGGGGTGGATAACTTCAGCAAGGAAGGATTACCTCAATGAGTCTGACAGGTGTTAAAAGCAATGAAGCATGCTGCTGCGCCAATGCCAGCAGCACCAAAATCACTGGTCTGGCACCGCATCACCCCCGGGACAAGGAAGCACCGTGCACGGAAGCCGTTCCTCTGCGCCCGGCACACTGCTGCCTTTGGGTGCTCTTGCTTGAACAGAGGAGCTATTGAGACCGCAATCACAGTGCCTCTGTTACCGTTATCTCTGGCAAACAAAGAATAACAGCTATAATCCTACATCCTCTTAGAGATCTAAACTAGAAGGTTCCAGCCTGCTTCGGACTACCAAGATAATTTTGCCACCTGCAGTGCTCTGTGGCCTGCCACGTGCAGTCCTACACACCCGTCTCCGGCCAGATGAGAGGCTGGATGCTGGAATGAAAATCAGGTACGAGCACAAGAGCCCAGCACAGCCACTCAGCTGAACAAGCCGTTTTCCAGAGTCAATGTTGCTAATGCTGAAGCACCAAGGCTTTGCATCTTGCATACCTCACACAGTCTTCTGCTCTGTACCTCAGGAAACACAACAGAGCATTTTGTCCACGTTGGATTTGCTGAGGTTAGATGCCTAGATGCCCATTGGCAAGATTCCTCTCCTGCTGA